GAGATCACTGAAGATATGGGAGCTATAGCAAAGTGTGACAAAGAAACTAGATGGTGCCATGCTATCAGGAACAGCATCTGGGATCTTAGAGGCTTGTCTTCAAAAAAGCAGCTATCTAAGTGAGGTATCATGTAAATCATAGAAGAAGCATACCAACCTGTGTGACCCAAAGGTTTTAATAAAATCCAAATTGGAAGGTTGGAATGATATCACTTTAAATGGTGAACACCTGGTTTGCAGACGGCTCTAGATGACAGAGGAAGCCCCAAATCCATTCCACGTATGTATGAAGCCTGTGGTGAATCCTCTCTGATCACAGTTGAGGGATGTGAATGGCCTTGTCAGACAGAGCACTGTGGGGTCGCTTGTGGCAGAGGTAGTTAGGTTGAAATGGAGTATCTTATCATTTGAGCTCCTCTTTGACCCATTTTAAAGTTGTTTCAGTTTAAAAAATAATAGAAAGGGAAAGACGCGTGGATGAAGCCAATAGTAAATCCCCTTTGACCACAGATCAGGGATGTGAATAGTCTTGCTATTATGTAAAATGTATTGGAAAGTGGATTATTGCAGATGCCGTTAGGCCAAAATTTAACACCTTATCATTTGATCTCCCTTTTGACCCATTTAAATTTTGTTCTAGTTTTTAATATTTTCTGCTTTCTTTCAATTGAGGTTTTTATCTGCTTTACTTTGCTATTATTCTGATTTTTGTTTTCTTTTTAAAATGTTTTCTTGTATATGAAATCCAGGATAAGTAAATCTATATTCATAGCAACTGGATTAATGATTCCTTGGACGGGAGATTGTGGGGGAAATAGGGAGCTAGTAATGAGTAGAGGAATGAAGATAGTGTTCTAAAACTGATTGTGGTGATGATTGCACAACTCTTCTTGATATGTTTGAACTACTGAATTGTATGGCTTGTGATCTATATGCCAGCAAAACTGCTTAGAAAAATAATAAATACACGGGAGCAAATTAAGAGGGAAAGAGAGAGAGAGTAAGAGAGAACCGCATCCTGGCCCACCAAGCTTCAAGGATGACATTCCTGCTCGGAGCAGCATTGCAGAGAGGACCATAGGCCCGGCCCCACCAGAAGACACGACATCCCCTCACTGAACCACAGTGTTCCAAGGGACAGCACTGGAGACACAGTGCAGGAATAGTGCCTACTCTGACACATACCCCCTCCCCCAACACACACACACTGGGGAGAAACACGAAGGGAGGGCAACAGAGCAGCAAGGGGAGCAAAGCGATGAAGTTCCAAAGAATTCCAAAAATAGACTTCTGACAAAGGGGAAGGCTTGGCACCTCATCAGACATGATCGGAATACATTCATAAGGGTCAACAGACAGGCTTGGAACTCTTTATAAGCTTTTTTTTTTTCTATGTCTATCTATATTAGATAGGCATGATAGTCAATCCCTGGGAGAAAACAGGACTGATGGTTCCGGGGAGATGATAGGCTTGTATATATGTTAAATATATTAATATATAACAATAGGGATGTAGGTCTATGTACATATATGTTAAGCATTAAGGTAGGAGGCAGATATTGGGCCTCTACTCAAGTACTCCCTCAATGCAAGAACACTTTGTTCTATTAAACATGCATTTCATGATGCTCACCTTTCCAACATGATCGATGAAGACAAAATGGGTGTATAAGCAAATGTGGAGAAGAAAGCTGAGGGTGCCCAGCTATTAGAAGATAAAATGTCTAGGGTCTTAAAGGCTTGACGTTAAATAAACGGACATCTAACAGGGAAGCAACAAAGCCCACATGGAAGAAGCACACCAGCCTGTGTGATCACAAGGTGTCCACGGCATCGGGTACCAGAAGATCCAAAACCAACAATCATATTGATGCAAATGAGGAGGGTTGGAATGGAGACCCAAAGTCCATCTGTAGACAATTGGACATCCCCTCACAGAAGGGTCACAAGGAAGGAATGAGTCAACCAGGGTGCAGTATAGCACCAACGCAACACACAGCATTCCTCTAGTTCCTTAATGCTTCCTTCCCTACCACTATCATGACCCAGTTCTACCTTACAAATTTGGGTAGACTGGAGCATCTACATTGGTACAGATAAGAGCTCTTGACACATGGAATCCAGCAACAGATAAACCCCTTAAGAACAGTACTGGGGGGGAAAAAGAACAGTAGTGGGAGTAGTGATACCATGAGGGTAGAGGGAAGGTGGAGGGGGGAGAAGGGGCAAAAAGTGGGAACTGATCACAATGATCAACGTAAAACAACCCCCTGGGGGACAAACAACAGAAGCATGGGTGAAGGGAGACAGCGGTCGATGTAAGATATGAGAGTAACAATTATTTTTAATTTGTCAAGGGTTCACGAGGGTGAGAGGGTGGGGGAGGGAGAGGAGAAAAACGCTGATACCAAGGGCTCAAGTAGAATGAAAATGCTTTGAAAATGATGGCAACATATGTACAAATGTGACTGATAGAATTGTTGTATAGATTGTTATAAGACCTGTTAAGAGCCCCCAATAAAATGATTAAAAAATAAATAAACATATTATCATAGTGAATGATGGGGGGAGGGCGGAGTGGAGACCCAAAGCCCATTTGTAGGCCACTGGAGATCCCCTTGCAGAGGGGTCTCGGGGAGGAGATGAGCCAGACAGGGTGTGAAGTAGCAACAATGAAACATACAACTTTCCTCTAGTTCCTAAATGCTTCTTCCCTGCCCCCACTATCATGATCCGAATTCTACCTTGCAAGTCTGGCTAGACCAGAGGATGTACACTGGTACAGATAGGAACTGGAAATACAAGGAATCCAGGGCGGATGATCCCTTCAGGACCAGTTGCGAGAGTGGCGATACTGGGAGGGTAGAGGGAGAGTGGTTGGAATGAGGGAACCGATTACAAGGATCTATATGTGACCTCCTCCCTGGGGGACGGGCAACAGAAAAGTGGGTGAAGTGAGACGTCAGACAAGGCAAGATATGACAAAATAATAATTTATAAATTATCAAGGGCTCATGAGGGAGGGGAGAGGGGGGAGGGGGAGGGAGGGGAAAAATGAGGACCTGATGTCGGGGCTTAAGTGGAAAGCACATGTTTTGAATGACGAAGGCAATGAATGTACAAATGTGCTTTACACAATTGATGTATGTATGGATTTTGATAAGAGTTGTATGAGCCCCTAATAAAACGATTTAAAAATATATATGAGACCAATTTGAAATAAGGCCCAAAATACAAAGATGTTCATTGTTATAGCAGAAAACAGGCAGCCTAAATATCTAATACTAAAGGATTAAGTCAATTAAATTACAGTCCAAACAAATGATGGAATATTAAGAAGTCATTAAAAATTTTATTGAGCATTTTTTAACATGATAAAGTGATAAAAATGCTAAGTACAACAGGGCACAGAACTAAGTTCAACATGTTTTCAACTGTTGTTCATTGCTGCAGAGTTGATTCCAATTCCCGGCAACCCTGATGCTTGCAGAGTAGAACTGCTCCCTGGGCCTTTCAAGGCGCCTGGGAAGCAGGGGGCCAGGCCTGTCTTCAGAGGTGCCCGTGGGTGGTGGCTAAAGGTCGAAGTGCTTCGCCATTTGCACCACAGTGAGCACACTAACAAGAGACTTCACAGCGTCTGCTGGTTTCAGTCCTTTCCAGTCGGCTACAGAGAGCACGCGATGCTTCTTCAAACAGAAAAGCCAAGCGCTGTTTTTGTTGCTCAACTACAACAGCTACTTTCCCCAAATCCACGTGCAGCCCAGCCCTCAGCTCCCATCAATTCCTGAAGTCACAACCATGGGAAGCTGAAAGCTAGGATTATGTTTTCCCTAACCTCAGAAGGCGCATTTTTAATGATTTCAAATAACAAGCATTAAGATAAGTACAGGAGAAAATAAAAGACTAGAGAGATATCTGTAAAACTGAAGGCAGGGTTTAGCTTTAGTTGGTGGAATTTCCATGTGTCTACATCTCTTTAGTTCAATTTACACAATGAACATCTAATACCTCTCTAATAAAAACATCTCTTCGACGTTTTTCTCCTGCAAGACAACCACCCAGCAAATTATAGCACATCTATACATTGGAATACCGATAAGCACTAAAAATGCTTTAGAAAAGTATTTAATAACATGAAAAAAAAAAGTCTGGTACAGTATTAGCTGAACATACTATAGAACAGTATGCTTAGAAGGATCCCATTGTTTTGTCTAAAAACACACACACATCCTACACATACATAGAAAACATCTTGGGAGGAAATAGTGTTTCACTGTAGGTAGAATGAAAGTGTTTCGTTTCAGGTAGTTGGTTTGAAGATTTTAGTTTTCTTGTTTGTATATTTTGGTAAATTTTCCTCTAGTGAATATGAATTACTTTCCCAATAGTCCAAAAGAAATTTTAAAAATAAATCCATAATTGGAGGGTGGGGAGGTGCGCTTTCCCTGCCTTTGGGGCTATGGGTCTGGTTACAAATAAGTATAATTTGTAATCATTTGATTAAGGAAACACACTATTTACATTACAAATAAGACACTAACTATAGACGTATACTCCAAGAGCTGGCAGAGACCTCTGAGCTCATCTGAAGACAATTTACAGGACACTGTGGTAGGACGCTATATAAATACTGACTGGAAACAATAACGAGATGTCATGCTAGAGAATCCTCAGTGAATAGTTTGAAAGCCTGGCTTCCTGTTTAACCTGGCAACTTTACAGTTACTTTATTGCTAGCCCCAAGGTAATTCAGCATTCTGATTCAATCTAAGAGTGTCTTGACTTTGCACAGAATAAGAGGACTACAAAGAACATCTAAAAAGCTAGAGATATGGAAAGGAACACAAACACAAACACACACACAGATGTGTATCCTCAGGCCCAAACAGGAGAGCCGTATGCAACCCGACTACCGGTTCAGTCTATCTCCAGATCGCTCTCCTCACTGTGGCAGGCAGCAGAGTTGCGCACAGAGGTCAGCACCAAGACTTCCTTCTCTGGGAGCAATCCAAATTCCTGCAGAAAAGCTTCCAGGTCCACAGCAAAGAAATCTTCCCCTAGCTGGTCAGTGACACGAACAAAATTGCCAATCAATTCACCGCCCTTGTAGATCAGCAGGGCAGGTAGGGCATTCCTGGTGAAGCGACTGCTGGCCCCAATAACGGAGCTCCTCACGCGGCAGAATTTGACCGCTGGGTACTCTGCAGCAAGGCAGGTCATGCACCCATTCATGGCGTCGGTCCCCAGAATGCCGTCCTCGTAAATATGGACCAGAATGAGGGTGCTCTTCTGTTCTTTATCAATCATATCTAAAAACTCTTCTCCACTGGGGATCTCGAACACCTGCTTGAACTGCGGCCCCTTGTGAAGCTGCTGGCGCATCTCCTCCATTCTCTGTTTCCGGTACTGCTGCAGAAACTCTTCGTCGTCTTGGTCCTCCCTCAGCATGGCGAAGTCCTTCAGGGTCATCTACAGGAGGCCCAGAGCGTGAGCAGAAGAAACAGAGACCGGGACACCATGGTGTGGGATATAAAAAGACTTTCCCCCAGCTTTGTCTCCCCCAAAGATAGGCCAAATATTAGAGGCTATTTGCCAGCGCAGGGTGGGAGGTCAGATGCATTCAGTCTTCAGACTACTGTCTGCTCCCACCACCTGCTGTCAGGCCCACTCCCTGCTGTTACGGACTATGGATTACTTCTCCCTGAAGGTTTTCAGCCATAAGTCTGGTCCACTGTAAGTGGGGTTCACACCCTACCGATAATAGTTTCTTTGGAGAGCCAGCGAACAGGTCAAACCTGTTCAGTGACATCTGAGGTTAGACTGCTCTCCTGAATCTAGGATCCGCCCATCTTGTCACCTGTATACCCCAATCCCTCCCCTTCCTATTGCATGTATGCTCCTAGATTGTCCCCCTCTCATTACTGTATTACCTATTGTACAACCCCTTCCTGTGATGTATGTCTTTACCTGTAATTAGTGGGCTTGTACCCCCCGACCCCCAAAGATATATAAGCCTTGGTTAGT